CAGAGGATTTCAAAAGTATCAGAATTTCTGATACTTTGGACTACCAGCCTGCAGTTTTAAGTATATTTCAGATAGAGACGATTTCAAAAGTATCAGAATTTCTGATACTTTGGACTACGAGTTTCTGCAGTTTTAAGTATATTTCACATATACGGGACTTGAAAAGTATCAGAATTTCTGATACTTTGGACTACCGGTCTGCAATTTTAAGTATATTTGACATACAGTACAGAGGATTTCATAAGTATCAGAATTTCTGATACTTTGGACTACCATTCTGCAGTTTTAAGTATATTTCACATATAAGGGATTTCAAAAGTATCAGAATTTCTGATACTTTGGACTACCGGTCTGCAATTTTAAGAATATTTGACATACAGTGCAGAGGATTTCAAAAGTATCAGAATTTCTGATACTTTGGACTACCAGTCTGCAATTTTAAGTATATTTGAGATAGAGAGGATTTCAAAAGTATCAGAATTTCTGATACTTTGGATTACCAGTTTCTGCAGTTTTAAGTATATTTGAGATACAGAGGATTTCAAAAGTATCAGAATTTCTGATACTTTGAACTACCAGTCTCTGCACTTTTAAGTATATTTGAGATACAGACGATTTCAAAAGTATCAGAATTTCTGATACTTTGGACTACCAGTCTCTGCAGTTTTAACTTTTAAATATATTCGAGGTATACAGGGTTTCAGAAATCGTTGGTATATTTCGGAAATTGTATATTTCAATTGAAGCATCTCATTGTCTTTAAAATTTTATGCTGCTTGATAAGGTGCATCTATATTTTCACATTTCCAAGATAATGTATTGTAATTTGCTTATTCGTAATTCTTGGTAGTCCGTATCCTCTATTTTTGCAGAAAAAAATTCAAGGTCAGCAAGATTTTTCGAAAACGATTGTTTATGTTGACGAGTTTTTCTATGGAAACAGTTTTCACGCTTTAAGCGTGATTTTGCATCATGCTTTTTTCTCAAATATCAATTTTTTCGACTTATTTTACAGATAGTACAAAGCCATTCAAACATTTTTAAAACGTTTTTTTATATTTTGCGGAAAATTAGCACAAAATCTGCAAAATGAGAGGAAAATAGCCAAAAAAATGAATTTTGGAAAATGCAAAGATAGTTTGGAACGCGTATTCAATTGCTCAACTCCGAGTCTTATGAAAACTTTTGGAGATAAGCACATAATTATAATCTTTACCATCAACTGAATTTCGAAGTTTGGACGACTTGATAACATGCCCAAATGCTGTTTTGAAAATTTCCCGTCATTGAAGTCATCAAAAGCCCGACTCATTATCCTCAATATTTCTTTCAAAATTCAACTATACAGGCCAAACAAGCATTCGTACGATACACTAGTTACTACTTCGTCGTTACAGTGCAAAAACATCCTTAAGAATTTCGTAGTTAATGAAAAAACAGCCATAATACAACAGCAGGAAAAATCACGCTCCTTGTCAACTTTTGCCGAAAAGCACGCTCGTGCCAGTCCTTTTCCGCATCACACATCGATCAGCACGACATCAGCGTGTTTCACCGCCCTCTATATAAGCGCCCTGAGTCCAAGCAATTCATTCTCTTACTAGTGCCAACTCGGCTTTCATCAAGATCTTTCGCGCATACTTAGTATGATATTGCGTTGAGATGCGTAATCCTTTAGGAACAACCTTGTTGTCTCGACACCTTTTCAGAAAGGCGAGGTTGTTAATCAATCTTGAACGTTGATTGGTAAGCCGATCAAGTCTTTTAAACGCTGAATGTATACACTCTCCATAGAGGTCCGTAATAAGTACTTTGAATGTTTGCATGGCGATAAAATGTAATTGTTTTTGTTTGTGGAAACACCACGTAAATTTATTACTTCAAAGCTTTCGATCCGTAAGCCCGGATCTTCATCAGTGCTAATAATATGTGACTTGTTTAATTCACACGCTCTTTTATATACGCTCTTTTATATATATACACGCTCTATTATATTTCACATGCTCTTTTATATAAGTTTATTTCTCTTCTGTTGAATTAGGTCAGTATCAGCGCCTCTCATAAGTTCCCTATTTCGTACATTACTTCGTATTATTTTTTTTTTTTTAGTTGATTAAAGTCAAAATGTCGACTCGTGATCCACCATTCATGTCCCCGCTTGTTTTAACATTTGACTTTAATCGGGGGAAAGCACTCATTGAACATATTACAAAGAGTTTCATTCAACAACTCGACTCCTTCGTCAACATCGTCAGTGTTGGCATCGTAAATCCGGCTCCAGTCATATACCTTCAATTTATTCTCCATTTTTATTTTTCGGTGATACCTCACATCACGAAAATATACAAATTTTCTCTCAGGCTTAACAGGTAGCTGCGGAGTCACAACAACCGCAGAATGATCAGAGCGTACCAAACATCTAAAAACTATAGGAACCTTCCATAAATGAGGGATATTTGTCAAGAAAACATCCAGTATCCGAGAACCTCTAGTACAGTAGGTTTCCTCACGATTTGATCAAAGTTGTGCTGAATGCAAAAGTCGTGCATGCGCAGTTGATTTACATCACCAACAATAATTATTTTGGCATTAGGTTGCAATAACAGAATCTTCTCACAGTATTCAGAAAAAAATTAAGCAAATCAGATTCGTTGTAAATTGGCTCAGGTGGATGATACACCACAGAGATCGCAGTATGAACTATTCATAGTGTGAATTTCGCACCAGATACATTCGAAATTATTATCGAGGTCGACATTGATAATTTTCCAATCATTTTCCAATCCTTATTAAGCTACTTAATTATAGCTAATCCATTATAAATCATTCGACCCGTTCGTTTTGTGCATTTTAAATTTCCCCCACTAATATCATTTAATTAACAACCAAGAGTACAAATGGAATCGTTTTGTTCCTGAATTCTGAAAAGCTCGCGCCTTGCCCATGCATGTATGAATGTATCGCCAGTAGCTATCATGACGATCGTCAGAGAACCAAAAACATCTCATAGAAAATTATTTTGTTCTATACACACACAATTTCCACATGTATCGATTGTCTTAACAAGGTTGTTTTCTTTTCCGAATTTGAATATTCCAAAACAATTAGTATACTGATAGGCTAAGATCCATTATAGTTTTCCGCGCTATTAAGGCGCCATGTGCAACTAGCTAATGAAACAGAGTCAAAGGTTCATTAACCAATTATGCGAAACAGTATAAATTAACGGTCGTTTCGTGACCTTTTCAGTTATTTAGTATTGGTTTCCCGCTCTGCCACGAAGTCAAAATACTGCATAGTACAGGTATAGTAGATTTTCAATCAGCCACACATAATTATAACCAACGTAACGTTTAACATGCTAGAAATTAACGAGTGTATATCAAAGTTTAACCCGAAAACATATAATACATTAAGTTATTGAAATAGTGAATTAGTAGAAGTGATCCAACCAACTTTTCTGGTTTTACACTCCATATATATTAACGAGTATACATCCAAGTTCAAAACGAAACAGTATAATATAAGAAATTAGGATCTTGGGCATCTGCAATCCAGTAATTATACTTCTAGAAGCCTTTTGTAAATAGAAATTTCGAGTGAGAATTTCATACATTTATTATAGATCTAAGGTAGGCCTCAGGAATGGAAGTAGACTTGCCCACAAGTCGATCTCGAATAGTGAGCGGTGAGCGGCGAAGCCGCGGGCCGCAAGATCGACTTGTCTCCCTTGCAGGAATTTGGATCTGATTAAAAATTCTGGCGCGAAAATTATTACAGTTAATTCAGTTACGCATTAAGTTTCACAAAAGTTGTCGATTTCAACTCAATTTTGTAAACAGACTTTCCTTTGACTTTTCGATCGTAGATTTCCGCTCGGCTCAAATTTGAGAACACAGTAGTTTCTAATGACAATAAGTCAATAACTGTTAATAACATAAGCGAAAATAGTGCTATCAATTTAGACTAAAATGCCGTATTAATTTACGGTATATTTGCACTTCTTTCTCTGACTATATTAGTATATTTTCAAGACGATCTTTCTCCAAATTCCATGACATGTTGTGTTACAATGCGGCAAAGACATGGAAGATGTAGATAAGCGACGGCGATTCTTTCCTGAATATAAAAAGATGAATGTTTGCGAAAACATTTAACTATTACAGTAGTAATTGGAATAGTTCATTGTAGTGAAACTACACTATTATTAAACATTCTCACAAATGTTGTTTGCCATTCTTGTAGGGACAAAAATACCCCTTCAGTTTAGAAAATTAACTCAGTTAAACAACAGTTCACCTCTGTTGCCAATATTTTATTGCATCTGCGAGAACTAACCATATTTTATACTTTGAAATGACTTTGTTTTATTGTTTATTTGTATTAAATAAATCGAAAGCCTAATTACTGTAAAGATATTTGAATAATTAATTCAAATAATTTAAATACGCGCTTCTTATTGGCTAGAATAATGACATACCCCCAGTCACACCCCGGTCAAAAAATCCACCGGTAGATTTGGCGTGCTGTAAGGGCGAAAAGTCCTTTCCAAGCGTACTTACGAACCGCGAAAACTGGAAAGGACTTTGGGAAAGTCTAGAATGGAAGCTGCGGTCTCGGGATTCAGGCGCAGCGCTTATAGTTATATCGAGTGTAGCTATGTATATATGCCCAAAATCCTGATAAGCGATTTAAATTATAGCAAATCCATTTTAAATCATTCCACCCTTTCGTTTTGTTCATTTTCACTAATTTCATTTTATTAACAACCGAGAGTTCAAATTATGGCATCATTCTGTGCTTTGGTCTGGATTCTGAAAATCCAGCGCCACGGCCATGTATTAGTGTATCGTCAGTAGCTATCATGGCGGTCGTCAGAAAACCGAAAACATCTCATAGAAAATTATTTTTAACTTATTACTCAATTTTATTTCTCAAGGATATATACAAAAGGTTAATTTAATTAAATTTGCAACGTTTCGGACATTTTAAATGTCCGTCTTTAGGCGACAATTGTTGTTAACGTTATATTCCTATATAACAAATATAACGTTAACAACAATTGTCGCCTGGAGACGGACATTTAAAATGTCCAAAACGTTGCAAATTTAATTAAATTAACCTTTTGTATATATCCTTGAGAAATAAAAATGAGTAATAAGTTATGAACAACAAAGGTGAAAGTTTTAGAAACAAGAGAAAATTATTTTGTTCTATACACACACAATTTCCATAGCCTATATATATAGATTGTTTTAACAAGTTTTATAGTTTTAAAAATAGGTTGTTTTCTTTTCCGAATTTGAATATTTCGAAACAATTAGTATGATGCGAACAGAGTCAATGGTAATTGATTAACCAATTATGGGAAACAGTATATATAAACGGTCGTTTCGTGACCTTTTCTGTTATAGTAGGGCTGCATGCTAAGGCACCGATTTTAGGCAAATCGTTCAAATCGTGATCACATTCTGAAACTTGGCACAGATACTCATTAGGATGTGGGTAGTACGAAATGGAAGGGGTGCCCAAAATTTGAGCAGGGAAAGTGTCCGTTCCGGCCTTCAAAATGGCCGACATATCCGTTATACGCCATGAGCAAAATTATGAAATTTTAGCATCTCATATACGGAAAAATAGACCTTCTTGTATGGTGTCCCATCCCCGCCAAAAATCAACTTTATATTTTCATCACAACTTTTTATTTTCAACACAACTTTTTATTTGCAACACAACTTTTTTTTTCAACACAACTTTTTATTTGCAACATAACTTTTTTTTCAACACAACTTTTTATTTGCAACACAACTTTTTTTTTTCAACACAACTTTTTTTTTCCAACCGCAATCCACTAATATATCATGGATCGCGGGCTAGTTTTGTGACCATATATCGCGGGCTTGCTACCGATGTTCTATTTCCTAAAATTCTTCATGTAATCTATGGTATAATTAAAATACACTGATACTATAGTACAGTCGAGCAAAAATGGACGATGATGACAAACAATATCTGTTGGACGCAGTTCATAGCGTGATTAATATCCTTGATAGATTTATGCAGTCAGGAGATACTTCGATCGATTTCCAAAGATCGATTATTAAAATCGATTATTAAAATCTCCAACGGTTGCTCGTGAATTTGGATGTCGATGATTCAGTTGTTGAACGTGTACAACAAGCATCAAATATCTTGTTTAATCTTGACCAAGCAAACAACGGGAACCCAGAATGTAGCGAAACAGTGCCAGTAGTAAACTGTGGAAGGAGAGGCCGACCAAGTTTCGATATCAATGAAGACCAATTATCGTTTCTTGTAGAAAAGGGATTTAAAGTAGCCGATATAAGCAAGGTGATCGGAGTTAGCCAACGAACAATTGAACGAAGGATGGCAATGTTTGGACTTTCTATTGCAGGTACTCATTGCTGTAGTATTATTTATTTACTTAAAAGTTTGACATTTGACAATAAAAACTCTTGTCAATAAAAACTCTTGTCTTGAGCATTGTTTTATACTCATAAAAACCTCTGGAGCTGCCCACCCTCACAATTGCAATCCCATGCACACAAAGGTATTAATCTGTAAACCCCGTGCTATATATTTTGAAGATATTTTAAATTAAAGTGCTTATGGAACGAAATTTTTACCTCATTTTTTATTGTTTTTCTAAAAAGTATTGCTGGAATGATGAAGAATGACCTTTACAGTCTCTTCATATCTCATCTTTTTCTCAAGTTGTCGCAGTTTCTATATTTATATGTCACAAGTATGACCCGAGATAATGGCAATATTACAAAAAAGTCTTATATCTTAGTGGGTATTTAATAATATTTAATGAAACTTCGAGGGAGTGGTCATTACTTATGGGAGGGGGGGGGGGGAAATTGGAGGGGGTTGGGGCAAACAAAGTAATACCCTTATAAATAGGGGGTCAAAAAAGTTTTAACACAGAGAAAGGGGGGGAGGATCAAAAAAATGTTTGAACTTAAATACCATGTCTAAAAAGACGACTCTGAAAACGCCATTTCCAACGATCTAGAGACTCAGAATTTTCAAAATTTCCCTGCTCGGCACCAACCATGGTAACACCTTGTGGGAGTCAGGCCCACTAAGTTTAACAAGCTTTCAACCCCCTGAGTAACCCAGTTGTGGTATTTACATAAACATACCACACTTAACTGCATAGATGCATTTTCATATTTTTTACTGGGGTGGTGCCAGAAATTTCAGGGAGGTGAGCCGTGAGCAGGTGACTGAAGCAACACAAAGTGTCACCAAACCCCAGTAAGGTCTATATTCTAGGGGTGGAGCACTAGAGCCACAAGGGGGAGTCTAGAGAGCAGAAAACAAAGTATCCCTGGAAAAAATCATGATTTCTAGCTTCGAAAAAACGTTTTTTGAAGTTGTCATATCAATGGATTTGGCCTGTCCGATTGTCTGTTGAGACTTGAGAGAGTTAAAGTTAAATGAACCTGTAAAAGTGTAAACCCAATAGACCAATACACAATATGCTTTCACTTTAAAAAGTCATTGACATTGTGTCATTTGAATCCGAGTACAATTTATGATGCAACTCCGATGTAAATAATATTTGGGGCATAAGATTAAATCTAGGCAAGACTATTTCCGTATAAAAGAATTAAAAACTAAAAATAGTGTTCGTAAAAATTCCAAACGTTCCTTGCAAGCAAGCTATTTGCATGACAAGGCACTGCAAACTCTATTCAGGGGAGATAATAGAGTTTCAAAACTTTACAATTGCTCCAATAATATTGCTTTCTATTCGAGTGTACTCCTACATTTATTTTGTATCATCAACACTCTGCACGTTGTAGTGGATTATTTAATTATTTTTTATTATTCCAAATATTGGGGGGGGGGGTTGAAAATTTTTTTGGAGAGGTGGACATTTTGTTGGGGGGGGGGGGTTATAGCTAATATTAGGGGGGTAGCACCCCCCACCCCCCCACAAAATCTGTCTATGCTTAACTGATCAGATTCAGTCTATCAAAGCACAATTTAATGCTGAACAGTATATCCAAAAATCTGTTTCAGAAAATGCTCACATTTCAGTCCTAGGGGTGGAAAAATACAAAAACTTTTCTGGGGGAGAATACCCCCAAACTTTTTGTCACCAACAACCATCTGTCATTTCTCCACATTCAGTATAGTATGGTCCCTTTTTGTATATGCCCACCCCCAGACAAGTTCTTAAAAAAGCCCTGTGTTCAAATCATTTCACATATTTTATGGTAGGACAAATGTTGCATTGCAAAGTAGTAACACATAAATATATATATTAAAACATGAGCTATGTTAAACAGGTTGTCCTAATATCTAACTTTACGTGCAACACACATGCACCTGTTTCATTGCTACTAATTTTTTTAATTGGGGGGGGTTAGAAACATTTCTACTTTTATGAGGGGGGAGGCACAAAAAGTTTGCCTTCAGTCTGGAGGGGGGTCAAAAAAGTTTTCAATCCTTATTTTCCCTATTTACCAACCCCTCCCTCCCCTTAAATGATGACCACTCCCTAATACACTTAGTGGGTGCACCCTATTTTTGGCAGGTAATGTGGTTGTCATGGCAACACACTAATGGCAAAACACTAGTCCCCAGTCTCTTCTCTTTCTTTCACAAATTTCCTCCTGTACACCTCGTACAGAGGATGTTTGCATGTTATAATTGTTTAAACTGATCCCAATACCTACACCTATTATATTAATAAGCGAAAATGTCAGGAATTGCTATTTATTTCGCTGGAAATGGATCATATAGAAATTGAAAGAGAAGGGACTGGGGACGAGTGTGTTTCCACAACAACCATATAAACAAGCCAAATTATTTGACTTAGTTGCACCCACTAAGTGTGTATGCCAAGTTTCATTGAATTTATTAAATAGTCGCAAAGATATCAGACTTTCTTGTTATTGCCACTATCTCAAGCCATACTTGTGATGTCACAACTCAAAATTTAGAAAGTGTGATAACTTGGGAATGAGATGAGATACAAATAAACTGTAAACATCATTCTTCATCATTTGAGCAGTCCCTTTCCATAAAATAATAAAAAATGAGGAAAAAATTTCGTTTTATAATCACTTTATTAACTGGATTTATTTACTGGTTGAGTCAGTTTTCTTCGATGTACATTACTGCAGGATACACCGTAGAACATGTGAATAAATAATTAGATTAAACTTATTGACAAAACTATAAAAATCATGATCGAAGTTTTTGAGATTGATGAAACTTTGTTTGAAAAACTCCTCAACTAGTAAATAAGTCTGTTATAAACCTCAAACTTAGGATATAGGTAATATATTTGACTTATATTCCTTGTTCTTGGTTTATAACCTATACATACAAATGATAACTATATGCATAAAATGTCTTTGTTTTCATATCTAAAGGTACATTTAGTGATATTAGTGATGATCAGTTAGATGAACTTGTTCGCCAAACATCAAGTGATCATCCCAATTTTGGTATACGGATGATGAAAGGATACCTGCAAAGCAAGGGATGGCGTGTGCAACGTGACCGGATAAGATGTTCACTGCTGAGAACAGATCCAATTGGTCTAATGCAACGTTGGCAAAAACGTTGGCGTTCATACAACGTGAAATATCCTCGCTCCCTGTGGCACATTGATGGGAACCACAAACTTATTAGGTATGATTTTGGTTGCCTACAATTGGGGCAAGGTCATGCCACCCTAAAATTTGCCAATTAATTAACTGCAGCAAAATAAAAATTGTATACCACTGATACCTTATTGGACATTTTTAATCCCCACTCTGTAATTTACCGCTTGGTTTGGCTTTGGGTTGTATAAATATCCATGATTTACAAGGGAAAAATTGTGAACTAAATGTTTGTTTTATGCCCTATTTTACATAATATTAATGACCTTTCACCCCCGTTAAATAAGTTTGTCTAAAGTTTGTTTGTTCACTGCAACCAGGTATATCAATCATGTTTCGCTCGCTACTCTGGTTTAAATAAATGATTACAAAGCCCAGTCGAATTGTAATCAAGACCCAACGTTTCGACACTCCAGTCTAGTGTCTTCAAAGTATACTGAAATATGTATAGTGTCTTTTTAGCCACGATCGTGGCTTCTTAAATACCCAAGGGATGACGTCACCTGCTAAGAAGATGCATATATTCTTCTGGCAAATAGGCGCCGTCATCCCTATTCAAAGCATGATGACTCATATTTATATGCCACGCTTCTAGGCAAAGTCTTTGACTATAGCGATTGTTTGTGGTAATTACTTTACAGTTTTCCCACGCAATCTCGTGTTTGGTGTAACATACATGTTCGGCTAAAGCTGATTTTCCCTTGTCTAAAGTTGAAACAGCCTTTTGATGTTCTTTTAGCCGTGTACCAAACTGGCGTTTAGACTGACCCAAATACTCTTTATCGCAGTCACTGCATGGTATAGAATATATAGCATGAGTCTTCTGATTTTTTTCAACAGGATCTTTTGGCTTTGCGAAAATATGGCCTAAAGTCAAATAGGGTTTTAAGGCAACCTTAATATTACAATTACTTAAGATTCTCTTGATTGGTTCTGTGACACCTTGAATGTATGGAACTATTGCAAAACCCTTAACAGAGGTATCACCCTTGGAGTTATTTTGGTTCCTACAAACAGGTGGTCTCAGGCAATCATTAAGAAAACGCTTTGG